CAATTTGGATCCCTTTTATTTCTTTCTCTTGCCTGATTGCTCTGGCTAGAACTTCCAGTACTATGTTAAATAGGAGTGGTGACAGTGGGCATCCTTGTCTGGTTCCTGTTCTTAGAGGGATGGCTTTCAGTTTTTAACTTCAGAGTTAACCTTCTTATAGCAGTGTTTTGTTCCTTTTTCTCTTATTATAATGTAGTCTCTTATTCTCCCTTTTTTCCTGCTAATTCCAATGTACTTTCTGTTTTCTTAAACTCATTCCTTGGTAATATATTGTGTACTGAGACTTCATGCTTTCCATCCCCATAGTATTCAGCATCTTGTGCCTCTCTGATCTAACTTTTCAACGTGAAATCAAGCCTATATTTCCATGTGACTCAGGCAGTTAACCTTCTACTTCCTGTCTAGTGTAACCACCTAGAGGAATCTCTCCTCTCAGTCCCTAAGACATCTCTACATAACTTGGATTCTCTCCAGTTTTTTTCATCCTCCTCACAAATTCTTACTTTTCAACTCAGCTCTTTATAGATAATAACCCACACCTGCTAATATTTGTTTTTCTCCTTTGTAATACTTTTACATCAATGCACAGTTAAAATTTTAGATTTAATATAGGGTATATTTTCTGCAGGCTGTCTCTTGAGAGAGAGTCTAAAAAACAAGCGCATCTGCTCTGTTGTGAGTTAATTCTTCTTAGTTTCACAAGGGTATCCTCTCTCAGACCACCCCATTTTTACAGTTTCCTAATTTCAGACACTTATCACAGGATCCAATTGATTTAGCAGGCTATAACTCTGTCCCTTCAACCTAAGGAAGGGTGAAGGATATTAAATCAAAACTCTTGTTTGGTGCTTGAAACAAAGTACTACTACTTATTATCTGTAGTACAAGCTGTCCAAATCCGATGAGTCTTATTGTTATGGGGTGTGTTCCCCTCTGGGAGTGACTGACTGGTATGGGATTATGAGACATTAGGTTTAGTAGAGTTCTGTTCTCACCTTAGTTTCAGAACACTGTTGTTATATGCCATTCTATTGGGACATAGAAATCACTTTGTTCTAATAAATTTGGAATAAGGATTTCACTTGTATGGTAATAGCTGATTTTTAATAGCTCTGATAACAAAGCTGCCTTTTTTGTTTTTAACAGTTGGTTTAGGCAAGTAGAGTTTGAGATACACTTTAGATTCTTTGTGCCAGGTTGGTGGTGACTTGAACAAAACAGTATTACTCCCTAGTTAGTAATTCTTTACTGGATGAAATAAGAGCCTGGAAGTAAGTGAAGGGCTAGTTGGGCTTTTGTAGGACTGTATGTGACCTCTATATTGGATGCCCTCAACCCTCAAAGAATGAGAAGTTATAGCCAGCCTCACCTGATAAGAAAGAAGGTAGCTCCATCAAGTAGTGAAGAAATCTGTGGGCACAGAGTTTCCAGTATTACCTTTGGTATCTTACAGTGACTTTTCGGATATAATTGGAGTCTGTCTTGCTAATAAAAAAAAAAATCCGAGGCCAGCCCCGTGGCTTAGTAGTTAAGTGCTTGCGCTCCGCTACTGGCGGCCCGGGTCTGGATCCCAGGCGCACACCGATGCACCGCTTGTCCAGCCATGCTGAGGCGGCGTCGCACATACAGCAACTGGAAGGATGTGCAACTATGACATACAACTATCTACTGGGGCTTTGGGGAGAAAAAGGGAAAAGAAAAAGGAAGGAGGATCGGCAATAGATGTTAGCTCAGGGCCGGTCTTCCTCAGCAAAAAGAGGAGGATTAGCATGGATGTTAGCTCAGGGCTGATCTTCCTCACCAAAAAAAAAATCCTTTATAAGGTAGAAAAGTTTTAGCAGTTATGCTGAAAAAGTGTCTTAATTTTCATGCAGCCTAAAAATACAGATTAATATTTATTTATGAAATGGTTGCCATGTGTCAGTACTTAGGAATAACGTTAAAAAATAAACTGCCTCCCAACTTCTAAACTTGTGATGAAGGAAGAACAGGTTAAGGTCAGAGTTATCGACTAGAAATAAATGGAAGAAAAGAGCTCAAACCCTTAAACCCTTGTGACTACTTTGATCTGTCTCTACTCTGATTTTCCTGTACTTTTACCTCAAAATTTTCTTACTTTTTCTTGTTACTTTTTTACTATTTTGATTTTGTTGTTTGTATTTATTTTCTGTATTTATCTTTCCTATTATTGTATGTCAAAATGGTTAGCTTCGACAGCAGTTTATTTATTTCAGTGTGTCTTCGAGTTATCGAGAGACATCTTAAAAGAAACTAATTTTAATTTACTTTGATGTTTAAAATACATGCCACAAAGTATTTTGGAAGGAAAGTTAGATTAAGAGAACATGTAATTAAACTTAGGAGAGCAAAGTTAGAATTCATAGGCTGTGAATCATCTCTGCCTTAAAGGAGAGGGCCTTTTTTATTGGGTAATGAATGTTTAAACAGTTAATAAATTGACCGAGATGATGAAAAAATAAAGTAGCTTGGGTCTGTAAGATATTCACTCTGAGCTAGAAGTCAAATTATAAGAAAGTGGCCAATTTCTTACCCTTATAAAAAAACATATTGGTTAAGAAGTCTTTATCCTTATAATCTATTACTATGCTTTTTGGTGGGCAGAGGTACCTTTCACTTTTCTGTCCTTCCTTCTTTGTGGAGGTGGAGTTCAAGGAACAGAGGACCAGAAGAAATTTAGCACTTTTCCTTTTGTGACTTTTTATCTCTTTTTCTTAGGTGACAGTTGATAAATGCATTCTTTAAAAATTACTGTTCTTTTTTCAGAGTGATATGTTAAAATTAAAAGTTTCTTTTGTCAGAGATAGTTATGGTTCATATTTTCTTTTTCATATGTTGTATGATTGGAATTATGTGAATCTTAGATAAACATTTAGTGTTGTGAATGATAGCAATTTAGGTTCTTTTAAGATTTAGATTTAGTTTAAAGAATTTCTGCTGTTTGTTTTTTTATTAGCGCAAAGCAGCTGGTCCGAGGAGAACCCAATGTTTCGTATATCTGTTCTCGGTACTATAGGGCACCGGAGTTGATCTTTGGAGCCACTGATTATACCTCTAGTATAGGTAAGTACTGACTCTGAATATAAGGACTTATAATTATTAAGCTCATCTTATTTTTAGCAATTTAGTATTACTAATCTATACTTTCACTTAAATATAAAGATGAATATGCCCTAAAATGCTTCTTCTTAAAGATTGATATGCAAAAATATGTAGAATTTTTAAAATTTCATCTTTTAGAATTTAAGATATATTTACTAGTCTACTTTTAGGTTTCTTGGATTATTAGAATAATAAAGCTATTTCTTTATGATTGCATGATTCCTTTATGATTACATTTGTTTTTAACTTAAAATTTCAAATAAATCATAAGTATACTTTTTTCTTTTTTTTTTTTTTAATTCCTCTGAAATACTCATTTCTAAGCTTGATCACCAGTTGGAGAATTTGTATCCATTAAGTTTATGTTGAAAGTGATAGGGTGACCATATTGTTGACATTTCTACTCTGCTGTCTCAATTGGTTATTTAATTTTAGGTCAGCTCAAAAAAAAACAATTCTGACTTTTTCATTAGTGGTTTGGCTAAATCCACTGATTCTGTAGAAGTCTTCAGGAAAGATCTTTAATGATAGTAGGAATTCAATAGACACAATTTACTTCAATCTTCATTGACCTCCTCTTCTAACCCATTTTAGCTCACTGGTAGGAGTGAATATAGAGATATGACCAGCTGGACAGGAATAGGAAGCTAAGAAAGGCAGAGCAACCTTAGGCTAGGTGTACAGGTGGAGGTCAAAATTATTTTATTGTTACGTATTGTTTCTGAAGAGAATTCCTTAGTCCAAAAACAGAAACAAAAGGATACAAATACCGAGCAAACAAACCAAAAAATCACAGTAACAGAAAACTAAGAAAAACTAGAACTTGGACAATTTTTGTCTTTTGATACAAGTAGAAATTCTCTGATATGAACAAAGACCTCTAAACGTAAACACATTACCACTTTTATTTTGCCAAAGGGCCAAATGCCAAAGAGCATTTTGGTTTGTGCTAAGGGGCCAGCAGTTTTACCCACCATTTCTTTTGCACCATCAGTGCAAATGTCAACAAAGTGAAAAAGGCAAATAACACCTTTGCCCTTTAGGGAGGGAGCTCTGCAGACCGTACTTTGAGACCTGTTGCACTGGAGGATAGAATATAATAATGTGTATGTGTGTGTGTGTGTGTGTGTGTGTAATGCTTAAAGTTTCGTCATGGCTATGTTATATGGTATATGTTAAGGGACAAATGAGAAATAGTGAAAAGGATATTTTGGTTGAAGGAGAACTGGATTTGAGTTCCAGGTTTATTATTACTTAGCTAAGCTGTAAAGTGGAGATTACTAACAATTCTGCCTACCTTTCTGAGTGGCTCTGAGGATTAAATAAAATGTTAATGAAAGTACTATAGAAATGTAAGGTGGTATTCTTTTTGTGGTATTTGTTAACTTGCCTCTCCCCAAGAGCAAATTTCAGCCCTTTATCTTTTTTATTTATTTATTTATTTATTTTGTGAGGAAGATCAGCCCTGAGCTAACATCCATGCCAATCCTCCTCTTTTTGCTGAGGAAGACTGGCCCTGGGCTAACATCTGTGCCCATCTTCCTCTACTTTCTATGGGACGCCGCTGCAGCATGGCCTGACAAGCGGTGCGTCGGTGCATGCCCGGGATCCGAACCTGGGCCGCCAGCAGCGGAGCACGCGCACTTAACCTCTGTGCCACGGGGCCGGCCTAACAGCCCTTTATCTTTGAAGATGTCGTTGGATTTTCCAGCTGCTTTATATTTTATTCAAATATATGATACTGATCATCTGCATACCAGATACTGAGATGAGTTGTTCCAGGGTCACCTAAAATACGTGCAATTTGCTCCTTTTAAAAAAGTCATGGCTAGATCATCTGACACATTAAGGCATGTTTATATAAACCTTTGTCCCTCTTAAGAGTGCATTACTTCTATAAATATCCCTGTGCCTAGCAGTTCTTTGGAATCTTTGTACAAAAGAAGGGCAGTGTAGTCTGTTTTCTCTATTAGGAACCAATTCTGTGGATGTTATGAGTACCTGCTTTCCAGTAGCTTCCTTTGCGTGGCTAAAGCCAGATTCTGATTTTCTAGGCTTAGGACTCACTGTATACCACTGATTCAGCTGGGGCCTTTTGAACCCTAACAAGCCTAGATTTGGCCTCCCTTTTTAGACTTAGGATACTTGGCTCTAAAGATTCTGGAAGATTTGTAAACAGACAAAACCGAAGATATTTAGAAGTGTACTAATACAGGTACATTTTAGAAATATTTTTAACAAAGATGTTTGAAGTGAAGGAGGAGCTAGGAGTTCTGGCTAGATTATTGTCATAATTGGATATAATCAGAGCTAAGGCTGATGGCTCTGATTATATTGACTTACTGAGAAATGGCAGAATGAGAAGAAATGGCTTCTTTAGGGCAAGGAATTAAGTTTACAGACCCTTGAAGAAATAGTTATCCTGTGACAGTGAGACAGTTTTTCAAGACAGTAGTGTCTTGATTGGGAATTGATATTGGGTTCCAGGCCTAGCTCTGCTATTCAGGAACTTTCTATTGTGCCTCAATTTCCTTATCTGTGAAGTAAATATGTTAAACAGGATGGTCTTGAAAGATTGCTTTTACCACGAATCAGAGTTAAGTATGAAACAATACTATTTTGGCTTAAACCCCAAATAACCAGAAAATACAGTGGGCCAAAGCACTTATATTTTATGCTTTCTTTTTAGTTGTTTTATTCTGTTTGGAGAATATCATCCATTTGTCCTATGAAATAAACACTAGAGATTTTAGTATCTCCCAGAAAGTGAGTAATAAATATCTTGGTTTTAGTAATTTGCCTGAGTTAACATTAATTGTTTTTTTGTGTGTGTGTGAGGAAGATTAGCCCTGAGCTAACATCTGTTGCTGATCCTCCTCTTTTTACTGAGGAAGATTGGCCCTGGGCTAACATACCTGCCCATCTTCCTCTACTTTATATGGGATGCCACCACAACGTGGCTTGACAAGCTGTGCGTGGGTCCGCGCCCGGAATCTGAACCTGCAAACCCCGGACCGCCGAAGTGGAGCGTGCGAACTTAACCACTGCACCACCGGGCCAGCCCCTGAGTTAACGTTAACTGAAGACCAGTAATATAGTTGCCACCTGAATCTTTTGATTATTAATCTGTGGCAACCACTAAGCAATAGTATTCCTTAATGTTTTACTCCTTGTCTCCCATATTTGTAGCTGAATCCAGCCTAAGAAAGTGTTTCTTATGGGTTTTTTATGAAAGTGTAATTATTCCCCTGCAATTTTTCTAGCCTTATCTTCTGAGATGAATTATTCTGTATTATAGAGGAAAGAAGTGCACGCATATTGCCTTCCATCTAATTAGCTAGGTAAGGGGATATTTTTAAACCTAGATCAACATAAAGTATTTACATTAATAAAGAGATACATCTTTTCCACTCGATGTAAGAGTTAGTATTACTATTGGCTTTCAGTGAAGTGAAGATTTCCTAGCGGGTTTTCATATTTGCTTCATTTAACAATTTCCTAATATGTCGAGGAGGGCTCTTTTGGTCTCTGTTTGCAAAATGTCTTGATTATCATTGCTTGGAACTGGACAAAATCAACTTGAATTTCTTCAATTAATTTTGTGTCATTATTTTTCTAGGTCAGTAAAAAGTAGTCACTGGAGCAGAGATTTCCAATCCCTCTTGATAGTGCATCTCACCATATCAGACTTCTTAAATTATTTGCTCTCCCCTTGCTGTTCACTATTCTTCTCTTTCCCTACTGATAGATGGGAAAGCCCAGCAATGATGTATGTTCTTCTCCCTAAAGCACTTGATTGTTGGTTCATACAAAACCCAGGAATCTCAGGCATCCAGAAACTGAAAATTAGCTTTTCCTTGCAGGAAGTCTTAATGGTGGGCTATAAATAAGAGTCATCATATAATTTATCTTCCCATTTGGTAAGACTTTTAAGAGAGAAGGAGGATACTGTTAGTAATTATCCCAGGACAATAGATCTAAACTAGGACTGTCTTGGGTAAGCCAGGATGTATGCTTTAAATTAGTTTTTAATTTGTTAAATTTACAAATTATTAAAATTTATTAGTTAAATTATTTTTTAAAATTTTCTCTCAGGATTAAGGTTTCTGCTTTGACTTAAAAGTAAATTATTTTGTAATTTGTGAAATAAAATACATTCCTCTATCCTTGCATTTAAAAAGGATAATATATTTAAGCACGTTTTTCTGTCAATCATGACAACAAAAAATCAACCTTTAGAGTCTTAAAATTTTTCTCAGAATTTACATTGGCTTAAAACCCTGTGTACAGGAGATTGAACTCTTGCTTGCTGCTACTCTGTGAGTACCTGCTAATGTGCAGAGATTGTGTCACTTTGACTTATTTTTAAGTAAGATAAGTAGGTAATCATGCCCTATGTTTTGGCACTGTAATCCTGTCTTGCTTGTTAAAGACTTGAACACCTGATATTTGATAATTAAATAGACTTTACCCTTTATTGGAATATTCTTATTGGCCTTGTTTCCTCTTTATTAAGTTTAACAATTTAAAAATTCTTTAGGGATAGATTGATGACCTTTTTTCCTCTGTTTTGGATTATACAGTCTTTTGCTTGTGATATTTACTCTGTGATCAAAGTAAAATTAGAAAATGTATACAAACATTTTTTCCATGCAACTTAAGCTACAAGGTATTAATAAACCTTTGTTTTCTATCTTCAGACGTATGGTCTGCAGGCTGTGTGTTGGCTGAGCTGTTGCTAGGACAACCAATATTTCCAGGGGACAGTGGTGTGGATCAATTGGTGGAAATAATCAAGGTGAGAAGATTAAGTCAGAATTTTTTAACTGAAAGGAATTTTGTTGCTATTTTAAGAATCTATATCACACATACACATCCATTAAAAACTTAACAAAAGGGTGAAAATGTCCCAAGAGCACATAGCAAGTTCAGCTGTAGAAAGTGTGAGAACCTAGCCTTTTGATTTCTAATTGAGTTATTCTTCTATTGTATGGTTCTGGAAAAGCTGTTTTGGATATCTAATGCAAGAAAGGAATATATCTGTTATTTAAAGTACTTAAAAGCTGTAAGATCACTAAAATGTATATAAACTGAATAAAAGCGTAAACTATGTCTATTTTTACTAATCGTGTACTCTCTGCTCCTCATACTCTACTGAGCACAAAGGAAATGCTTGTATTTATTCAATATATAAATATTTATAGTATGAAAGGATGAATATCTGCCTATACAAGTAGACCACAGATAGAAGCAGAATTTTGACTTATGGATTTAATATAATTTTCTTTATTAGGCCTGTCAACCTCTTTATTAACAACACCAGATTCAAAATACTATTATGTTAGAATTAATATTGTCTCTTAAGAATGGTAGGGCTGAGATTTTAATTGAGTTTTTAAACGTAATTTTAAAAAGTTTTTGGTATTTGAGATCTTAAAGAAGCTCCTACCCCTTTTTAAAAAATCTATTGTCTGTATATTTAGACCGCTAGATTGGTTCATTCTAAGGTTACAGTTTTGCCAAAGCAACACCACCTACTGTCCTTTAGGCTTTATTCTTGTTTTTTTTTTTTTTTTTTTTTGGTGAGGAAGATTGGCCTTGAGCTAACATCTGTTGCCAGTCTTCCTCTTTTTGCTGAGGAGGATTGGCTCTGAGCTAACATCTGTGCCCATCTTCCTCTATTTTGTATGTGGGCCGCCGCCACCACAGCTTGGCTTGATGAGTGGTGCGTTGGTCCACTCATGGGTTTCGAACCTGTGAACCCCAGGCCACTGAAGTGGAGTGCGAGAACTTAACCACTATTCAACCAGGCCAGCCCCTGGGCTTTATTCTTGATTCTCCAAATATTTCATAGAAGTGTAAAGTTGAATATCCCCTTAGAGGTCATGTAATCCAATCCTCCATCCAATGCAAGAACCTTCTTAGTTATATTCCTGGTACATGGATTTCCAGTGTTTTCTTGAATACTTCCAGCATCAGATCACTGCTTGGGGATGCAGGCTGTACTGTATCTGGACAGCTTGAATTTAGTTTTTATTGTGCTGAGTCATAACTCCTCGGTACCTTTTACCAGTTCTGCACACAACTATGATTACGTTATTTTAAAATCTGTGTACTTTTTTCTATAAAAAATGTTACTTTTGATAAGGCAATTTTGCCTAGCTATCAGTGTGTGGTTGAAAAAACCAGTGTGTGATCAAGAATCTTCCTTACTATCCATATAATTTCTTATAATTTGCACCTGAGACCTCTGTGGTATTTGCAGTCTTTTTTTGGTAACCATCTCTTAGTTTCAGATTGAACTTTTAACCTTTGTTTAACTTTCTGCTTTCTTCCTGATTCCCACACTACACTCAGATCTAAGTTCAGATAGTTGGATCTCTGTGTTTTCTGAAATTAATTATTCAAATTAATGTTCTAATACAGAGGTTGGCAAACTTTTTTCTGTAAAGGGCTAGATAAAATATTTTAGGCTTTGTGGGCTATAACGCAAATCAGGGGTATCATAAAGATAGTTATATAACAAAAGAGACAACAAATTTCCACAAATTTTTTGTTAATGAAATTCAAACTATAATAATAACTGAGTACAATTTTTTTGTGATACAAGTCTACTAATTAGAAGATTGGAGTTCTTTTTGGGAGGCTATAACATTTCTCTTCATTGGAGTTCAAAGTTATTGTTTCCTATCATCAAATTGATTGTAGATGATTATCTGTAAAATCAATTCTCAGTTCGTAGGCCTTACAAAAACAGAGATCAGGCCATAGTTTGCTGACCTCTGGTCTTGTCCAACCAGTAAGCATTTCCTCTATCCACAGGCTTTCACTTGATGTATTTGAGCTCGCCAAACTACAGTTCTCTGAGCATATTGCCATTCTATTTGTCATGTATGTTTAGCTTATTAGAATTGTGTCATTTGCCTACTGGTTATAGTTTAGAATTTTGTGATGATTTATTGTCATTAATTTTAATTAATTCATACATGATACAACTGAAATTGCTCAAGAAGCTAAGTGGGCATCTGTGATAAGTCTGTATCTTCTGCTTGCTGTCATATCTTATAAACCTTTAAGTTTAGAGGTTTTTTCCACGACTTTTTGTCAATTTTGTCAAAATTGTTCAATTTTCTGCTATTATTGGTTTGTGCTTATTTAATAGATTTTAGTAGAAATTGTCAGATTGTTCTTGATGGTTTAAGACTTCATTTTCATTAGGGCTTATTTGTTGCAAATTGGTCCATGATCAATTTGTAGGAGTAGGCCAATTCTGAAATGAAATACTTTTTCATTTATGTGTTATCTTGACATCTTGCATTTATACATAAGGAACACAGTCATCACCCTAATATGGTTTCAAGATGGCTGTCTATAGATGTTTTGAAGGTGTTTAAAAAATTTAATGGAAAAATTAAAAAAAAAATTTAATGGAATTAGCTTCCCAGGGCACTTTGGGCTATCCAGCGTCTTGGCCTTTTACAGTCTTAAGCATGGTTGCCCAGGATAGATAAAATATCAGCATTAGTTTGCCACCCATTTGGTGATCTGAAGTTATACATTATATTGAGGTTATTAGACATTGTGCTGTGGTGTGTGTGTCTGTAGGTAGTATAGCTCTAAATTTTATTGCATGGAGGTTAATAAACATTGTAGGGGTTTTGTATGTGTGTTTAATATAGCTCTAAATCTTGTTGATTCTATATATCTGTTCCTTAAATATTGAATATCTGTGATATTTCATTGAAATAAAAATTTCTAACTAGTTCTGATGTAACTGTTCAGTTTTCCTGATCTAAGTTGTAAATTGGAAAACAAAAGTTGTGTAGGTTAGCTTTCAAAGATAAATGTTGTTAAGACATTTTATATTTTAAACAAGTATTATCATTACTGCTAACCAAGAAAGGTGCTCAAAAGTGCCCAGTTCAATTCTCAATTTTTTTGAGATAATAGTCATGAGCACTTAATCCTTATGGTAAGTAGGGAATTCATGTTAATCTTTCCTTTTCTATTCTCTTTTCATTTTCTCCCTTGAAAACCTCGTGGGGATTTCTCTAGAGTGTCTAGGAGTAGCTGACCCTTCAGTAAAATAGATACTTTTCTTTCTGAATTGGAGTTTATGCAAAAAATGAACAGTTATACAGCAAACTTCATGAATTTTGTATGTGGTAGACTTGCCTCATTATTTTATAAACTTTTTGAGCAGGAACTTTCTTTTATTGTTACGTTTTAGTATCCAGGGACACCAAAATAGTTTTCAGTAAAGACTTAAATTGAATTAAGCTGCTAGACCATTGTTTATTCATGAATTCAGAATTACCTGGGAATTAATAAGAAAAGTTAGTGTGATTCTTACATATGTTGTTTATTAAATTTTATTGGCTTGATGTCGGTGTCAGTAATTTACAGTGTGAGTAACAGAGAGCTAACTTTCTCATTCTCGCTAACCTTTTACATCTCCACCCTCCCTACCTTCTAATAAGAAGGCTTTTGCAAAATATTTAGAATAATTCAAATACGTTATCTTCAGAATAAAAGGACAAAGCAGAATGGAATTGAAAGTCATGAAAAATTATTTCCAAGCATGAAGAACACTTTCTGAGATTGATTTAATACATAGGATTATCACATTGGCGTTTCGTTATGCCAGTTAATCTCTGAATATCAAGAAAATGCTTGGATTTTCAAAGCATTTATGAAAAGAGAAATTCTGTTACGGACTTCTCAGGTAATAAGATTTTTTAAAAAATTCTTCCTTAACATGCTAGTTAAAATAACCTCAAGAGATATCTGGTGTAGGTTTCAGATACCTGGTGAAAAATAAAACATTTTGGGAGAACCTGTACCAGGAATTTCACAAATGTAGTAGGTTCAATGATGTAGCATTGTCCTTTGCACCTCTGCCATCAGTCATAGCAATGGGCTTATTTAGAAAAGAGTCTTCTGAAGATTTGGAGAAGGTAGTATTTTTTTATGCCAATTACTTTTTTTGTAAATATATATGCTATAATTTTATATGCTCAATGCAGAAGACTGAGAAAACAGACAAACTCACAGATATCAACAGAAGAAAAAAAAGCCATCATTTACTTCTATAAATATTTTGATATACTTTTCTATACATATGTTTAAACAAAAATGCCAAATGTTTTGTAGACTTTTACTGTATAATTAATTGTATTTCTCACATGAAGTATATTTTAACTAAGTGATTTTTTTAATGACTGCATAGATTCCACTGTATGATTATATTCTGAATTATATAATTGATTCTGAACAGAATAATGTTATTAAGGTTAAGTGATATATTATTGTCTTTGAATGATATATTTGGCCTCTCAAAGATTGGATCATTAACTTTCTTTTATAAATGACGGGTGTCCCCAGAATTCCCCAAATGGATTGAAGTTGAAGCAGTCTAGGAAGTTCTAGATCTAGGAGTGCTGTAGGGTTTACTAATAGTTTCTTTTCCCCTTCCAAATTTTAAAACATAAATTTCAAATAAGGAAAGGTAAGCTTCAGTCCAGAGTTCAGTTTCTGGGTTAAAATACCACAAAATTAAAAGTTTAAAAGAAACCAACCATTTTGTAGAATTTTAAGTTTTAAATGTATTAATATTCTTAGAGATATACTTTCATTTATTCCAAAAACATTTACTTATGCTTAGTAATAATTTGACCATTGCTTTCTAGTGGAAGAGTTTTAGGGCAGAATTAGTCAGTCTCCTGATGATAGAATTTCAGTATAGCTTTCATGGTTTTAGTAACTAGCGTTTTAAGTTTGGATGTATCTCTTTTAGAAAAACATGACATTAAACTTATAGATACTTAAATTATTTGCAATATTAAAATTTTGTAAGGCAATTAAGGTTACTTAATTTCTCTTGTTAAACAATTTTACTAAACTACTGTTTAATTTTCTCTTAGCAATAATTACTCAATTTAGATATCTGCATAGATAGCTCTTACACAGGTAAGAGCCACTAAAATCTTACCTCTAGCAGAGATTTTAAGAAATTTGAAGGTAGAAAACGATGAGATCCAAATAATCTTTTGATTATGTTATCACAGCTCTGTAAATGGACTTCATTTCTTATGATGTCTATCAGTCGAAAAGATTGAGAAGGAAAAAGATTTAGCAGTGGAGAGTGGGATTAAGGGGTGAGGGAAAGGAGAGAATTTTTACTTTTACTGTTGATGTTGATTTTTTTAAACAATCCTATCTTTTTGCATCATAGAAACTATGAAAAAACAGACGCTTTCAATTGTTGTATGCTAGAATCTTTTGTTCGTAAACAAATAAAAACAGTTATATAGAGTTAAGAGCCACATTTTGTTACAAATGTTTGCCTAAATAATTGTTTTCTTGATCTTCCAATTTGACCAATGGCTATTTGCACTATAATTTAGACAAAGAGATCAGTGATTACCTGGCTCCTCAGAAGCCTACATTTTGGGAAACTACTGCTAATCATAAAAGCTCCCACTCAGTGAGACCTACTCTGGGTCAGGCACTGGGCTAAGCACTTTTTATACGTTACCACATTTAAACCTTATATTAATCCTAGGAAGATGATGATGATGATTATGATGATGATCATTATTACAACCACCATATCTAGGAGGGGTTGGGTAGTAAGGAAATCCTATCTGATTCATCTTTAGCTCAATTGATGTCCTCTATGCATGGAATTTTGTAGCTCTGGGGAAAACAATATGATCCTTCATGTCAACTTGGTATCCAGAACCCATTAAGTCATATTTACTAAATGTTAGTATTAAAAAAATGTGACCACAGACTAAAGGAGACAGCCCCTAAATCTTACTACAATGAATATACCTAATCAGTTTGAGATGTCTTTGGACTAGGTTTAATTGTGCTTCATCTAAAGCAATCCAGGTTATAATGGTGGATTCCTTTGCTTTTAAGTACAGCTCAACCTTATTTTCACCATCTTTGTTTAGTAAACATTTTAGATTTTCACTTTTCTTGTCCCCATGTTATGGTTTGTTCAACACCTCTATGTGTGCATTACTCTCCTTTCCTGGCTTAACATTTTCACTATTAAATAGTCTCTCAGACAGAGGTCTAAGCTATTTATTAAATCAAAATTTAATAAATATAAAATACCTTTTTTTCCCTAAGTTTTTTGATGGATTCTTGATATATCTTTGCTAACATGCATTTGGAATTTAATCATATATTACCTGGTGACATTTCTTGTGCTATCATATTATAAAGCTGTTGTGTTAACAGACTGCAGGGACCACATATTAAATTTACTATCTCCTCTTCCACTCCCCAGAACATGTAAGTACACCTCATTACACATTATGGTACAGATTTTTACTTGTAATATATATTGTATTGTAATGTATAAACAAAATATTTGATTCCTTAATTCATTCTTGTGTTGTTTAAATTTTTCCATTTTAATTACTGACTAGAGTGGCAACTTTTAATAGCTTTTGGATCATGGACCACTTTGAAAATCTGTTCATAGCAATGGACTCTTCTCCAGAAAAATGCATACATGCCAAAATTTTGCATATAATTTCACATGATCCTTGGGCTTTCTGAAGCTCATCCAGGAACCCTAGGTTAAATATCCCTATACAAGTGCAAGAAACTGTGGTTACAATTTGTAGTAACTGCCTGCAATATAGGTATTATACACAGAGTATGATAGCAACATTTTTTAAATAAGTGAATGAGTAAAGGAGACATTAAAATAATTATTTTAATGTAATAACCGCTCAACTGCATTTTTACATTAATATAATGTTTTCCATAGACCAAAAGAAACATCACTTAACTTACTACTGTGAAATTTTATTGGCTCTAGAGTAACTTACTCATACTTGGTTAAATCTCTATACACTTACAGGTATGTGTGCCCAGGCATGGAAAAGTGGTTTCCTGGCAGTGTGGCCCAGTTTAGCTTTTGACTAGAGAATAATGGTATCCATTTGAAATCTTCACTTTCCCCTAAACAAGCAGTGTAGAATGATTTACTAAGTTGCCAGTGTGTGTTTTATTTATGCAAAGAAACTTTTTTCACACAAAATGAAGTTTCATGACATTGTCACCTCAGAACTGATTTACTGATAGTTATATTTTAAGACCTGAGTCAAAAGACGCGTCCATAGGATTACTCTTCTCGGAATATAATATGCTTTACTTATCAACTGCAGATTCTTCTACACAGTTGCATTTTGTTTGCCTAATTTCAGGGCCCTGTTTTAATACATTATTTTTCTTTGGAGTAATCTGTAAAATATGTCAAGGGGCAGGTGAGAGATGGGACAGGGACAGAAATCTGTCAGGTTAGCAGCATTCATAATCTAGACCCTGGTTTCAGAACCTATGTTTTACTAAGGAATCTCTGCTTCCTTTTTTAGCAAAAGGTTAGAAATTTTGAGAGCAATGATTCTTAATGGTTGAGTAGTAGAAAAAATATAAGAAACACTGGAATCTTATAGAGGGACATTTATGGTTTGTAAAAGTATACTGAGTGCTATTTCATATTTATAAAACAATTTTTTATGTTTTATTGCTACATATGATAGAAGGAAGACGTGAAGAAAATCTTGGCTTATAGTGCCTCAAAGAACTATAGTGTTAGTGATTCTCAAAGGAAGCAAGAGCTGGGTGATGTTTAAAATATTTAGTCTCAAAAGTGTGTGTAGTTTTTAAAAGTTTGGGAAATATAGTGTTTTGTGTTTTTTTTAACCCAAGAGATTCTGACCCCCCTCCCTTTTCTATTTTATACTCCTTCTTTGAGCATACCACTTTAGCAGAGATTCACCTAGGAAAAAAGATCTTTTGACTTCTGTGAATATATATTAGCTAAGAATGACTTTCTCACTTTATGTTGAACAGTGTGCATAATCAAAACAATAGTCACCTTTTGGGGGAGAAGGTGGGAAATTGTTTCCAAGCGTAAAATTTTATTCAGAAAGAAAAGAATGAGGGCGAAAACAATCTTTAAAAAGAAGAAGAAAGTTGGAGGACTCGTACTTCCCCATTTCAAAACTTACTACGCAGCTGCAGTAATGAAGACAGTGCATCTACAATGGAATAGTATTCAGCCATGAGAAAGAAGGAAATCTTGCCATTTGTGACAGTGGATGGACCTCAAGGGCATTATGCTAAGTGAGATAAGCCAGCCAGAGAAAGACAAATACTGCGTGTTATCACTTATATGTGGAATCCAAGAAAAAAGTCAAAGTTATAGAAACAGAGAGTAGAAAAGTGGTTGCCAAGGGCTGAGGTGTGGGGGAAAGGAAGAGAAGTTGGTAAGGAAACAATCGTTCAGCTATAAGATGAATAAGGTCTGAGGATCTAATGTAAAACATCTATAATTGGTAACACCATATTATTTAATTGAAATTTGCTGAGAGAGTAAAACATAAATGTTCTCACCAATTAAAAAAAAAGTCAGGTGATGAATGAGTTAATTAACTAGATGGTGGGAATCCTTTCACAATGTATATGTGTATCAAATCACCACAATATACACTTTATATGTCTTACAGATTTGTCAATTATACCTCAATAAAGCTAAAAAGAAAAAAAGACAATATAGTACTGTCATGAGCATAGCCATATACAACAATGGGGTAAAATTGAGAGTCCAGAACTAGACCTTTACATTTATGGTCACTTGATTTTTGACAAGGGTTCCAGGGCAATTCAGTGAGGAAAGAACAGTCTTTTTAAAAGTGATGCTTAGGCAACTAGATATCCATATGCAAAGAATGAAGTTGGACCCCTACCTCTCACCATATACAAAAATTAACTCAAAATGGATCAAAGACCTAAATGCAAGAGCCAAAACTATAAAATGCTTAGAGGGAAACATAGGTGTAAACCTTTGTCACCTTCAGTTAGGCAGTGGTTTCTTAGATATGACACACACAAAAAGCACAGATGACAATAGAAAAAGTAGATAACATTGAACTTCATCAAAATTAAAAACTTTTGTGTTTCAAAGTACACCATCAAGAAAGTTAGAAGACAACCCACAGAATAGGAGAAATTTTTGCAACTCATGTATATGATAAGGGACTTGCATCCAAAATATATAAGGAACTCTTACAACTCAACAATAAAAAGACAGCACAATTAAAAAATGGGCAAAGGATCTGAATAGACATTTCTGAAAGAAGACATACAAAATGACCAGTAAGCACGAGAAAGATGTTCAACATCCTTAGAGAAGTGCAAATCAATCCCGTAATGAATACTACATCACATTCACTAGAATGGCTAAAATAAAAAGATAATAACTAATGTTGATGAGGGTGTGGAGCAGTTGAAACCCTCATACATTGCTGGTGGGATTGTAAAATGGTGCAAACCAAAAATGGTTTGGCACATCCTCAAAATATTAAACATAAAGTTACCATATGACCCGGCAGTTCCATTCATAGGTGTATACCTCAGAGAATTAAAAACATGTCCGCACAAAAACTTGTACACAAATGTTTATAGCAGCATTATTGCTAGCCGAAAAGTGGAAACGTTTCAGATGTCCATCAGCTGATGGGATAAAGAAAATGTCAGACACAAAAGGCCACATGTTAAGTGATTTCGTTTATATGAAATGTCCAGATCTGTAGAGACAAATTAGATTAGTGGTTGTCAGGAGATGGGGGCATGGGAATGAGAATGACTGCTCATGGGTACAGGGTTTCGTTTTGGGGTGATGAACGTGTTATAAAATCAGATAACAGAGTTGTACACCCCTGTGAATATACTAAAAAACCACTGAGGTGTATACTTTAAAGGGGTGAATTTCATCTCAATAAAGCTGTTGTTAAAAAAAAAAGACTCGAGTGAGGGCATCTACTGTGGAACTATTGATAAGGTAGCTTTGCTGTTTCCGCTGTATTTTAAGGAAGGCAATAAACTCTGACCATAGTTTTGCAAAGTACTCCAGAGAACTTGTCATGTTTGTACCTCCCACCCTCTGGGCCAAAAAGGGAGGGGGAGCAGATCAAGTTCAGTTAAGTGACAGATGGCACAAGAAAGAGTGAATGGAGTAGGGCGTGGAGACGTAAAGGACCCTCTTATACTAATTTACCCTCCCTAGGCTGAATACATACTTTAAATTAGCCAAATTTAGTTGTGTTCAAATAACGTGACAACTTGCTGCTCTTTTCTTCCTTTTCTTCACTGAAGCTCCTAATGGGGTTTTAAGACTACTGCTTATTATGTAGCTTTTTGTTCCCTGGCTTTTGGAAATCAGAGGAAAACCTTAAGAAGAAAACATTGCACCACCAAAAAAAGGGCTTTTTATACCAAAATTTCAATCATCTGTTAATAGGGGAGAGGTAGAAATTGATAAAATCTGCGTGTGTTGAGAGTTAAGTATTTTAGCTACCCACCCATATCTAATAGATTTAAAAAAGAAAAACCTGTAAATTTTAGGGAACCACCAGAGGCAATAACATTTTATATCAGTCCTCTGAAAGTGAATAGTGTAATAGTGATTCCAATGCCATTAGATACTGATATTTTGAAATAGAATAGCTCGGTGGCATGTTTTCTAGTTTTCTAATTAGAGAAATTTCTGAAGCTTGTGGTATAGGCAGCCAACCTGACAGTTATCCAAATTGAATAAACAGTTCTTTTATGCAGAAAAGAAATGAAGATGTTTAATTATTCAACCATGCTACATGTTCTCTCTATTGCCTCTGTGTTATATAATTTATATCCACTTCATTTAACGAGTTTTTATTGAATTCATTATATATAGACCTGACCATACATCCTTTTAGTCTTTCACGGTGCATCCCACCTTAAACTACGTGTTGATTTAGTGAGCTATTTTTGTTAGGTGTTGGGCTGGAACATAGAAGGTCCTTGCCCTCAAGGAGTTCAGAGACTGAGGGGAGGAGAGGAACAACTGAGGGCAATAGAGTAAGGCAGGTATTATTCCAGAAGTCTGAGCAGAGTACAAAGGCAGAAGTGTTCTATTTGGAGGTAGTGCTCTCTGGAAAGGCTTCATTAGAAAGGTAATTCTTGAGCTGAATCTTGAAACATGGAAAGGTATTCACCCTTTAGGGAGAGGAAAGGAGTGGAGGACATATGCGTGAGTTTGGGCAAAGATGCTTAGTGAAATCAGATCTATTACATGTTTCTTTATGGTTTGAGCTTAAGGTTCTGAATGGTGAGGATAGTAGAATATGAGTCTACTAGAAGAAGGAAGACTGGAGCTTTGGCAGTGGCCAGACCACATTAGCCTGTAGGCGGTTGGAAGCCATTGTAGGATTTTAAGCAGAGGAGTAACAAATTTCTAGTAGGATTTCTTTACTTCGCCCTGCTTTAAAGGGTGCACGTGCAGCTCAGTTACTGAAGTTTGGCGACCTCTGGTGTTGAGCTATTAAAAAGCAAGGCTGTGAAAGAAATACTTGTATTTCATAGCTTTTGTCGGATGATTCTTGGATTTGTTTTATTTCTTTGAAGAACTAAATCATAATTCCTGATTTGATATTTATCAGTGTCTGAATAAATTTATAACTAGATGAAAAATGTTACAACAAACATGGATGGGACCAGGTACAAATGAAATGATTGATTTAATCATATGACATGAACAGCATATCCAAAGAGATGTGGCAGGCTGATCTCTGATTCTTTGGATCTTTCCACCCGCCACCTCCCATGATGTTCTATGATGGTGAACCAAAGAAAAGGTACTTTTTTGCAATGAATGGAAAGGTCTTATTTTAATAATAGATAACTGAGAATACATACTCTTCCCAATGGTGTGACAATTTTTAACATCCCCTCTCGTTTTTATTGTGTGAGATATCATACTTACAGAAAAGTGCATAAAACATTTATGTGCAGTTTTGTTTCCTTTAAGTCATGGAGAAACTCAGTTTTTAGAAGATCCAGAAATAAGTTTAAAAAAAAAAAGTATATCCTTAGTCTAAAAGTTTTGGAAGAAAATTATTGTATTTCTGTCTCTTAAAATTTAAGGTAACGCTCAAGGCTTGTTTTCTGTCAGAAATGATGAGGTTCATCTCAAAGATCCTTTTTTAATCTATAAAATAAAAAAGTACAATTGTATCATTTCAAAGCTTCCAAATATATAATTCAGCTGGAGTAAATCAGGTAGAAATAGACTCTGAACCTAATAAAAACTTAAAGATGCAGTCAGAGGTAGAAATAGCATAGTTGATATGTTAAAATGTCTTAGGTTTGTGGTATTGATTGCAGATGGTGATGCATTCAGAATCTTGGCTTTTCATAATCTATTACTTGTTTACCTTTCAGCCTCTAATGTTGCCATCCATCCGTCATCTAATCCTTATTCTCTCTTAGCACTCAGCCTTTGCAATTATTTAAATCATGCTGTTTTCCACTTCATACCTAGCTTGCAAAGAATATGCTTCTGACTCATCTGCTTCCTAGAGTCCTCAGGTAAAATCAGCTCTTCTCTCTCCTTCCAGATCCTTTCCTGAGTCCCTTCCTCACTCCAGAGCAGTGTAGCACTTTCGTCTCATACGTAATCTATGCTTATTTTGTTGTACTGATGTTGGCTGATTGTAGTTGATTTATGTACAAATCTCTCTGCCCTAGAGTTCCTTGGGGATAGGAAACTCAGTAAGTGTTTTAAATGAGTGAATGACTTAAGAGGCTGAAAAAAATTTTTTAAATGCCTCTTGATTATGTCCTACTTTTGCATTCTTATGTTCCTTTGCATCTTAAATCATACCTTTGCTTTCTTAAAGACTGTACATGTTATGTATAAAATAACTCTGATTTTACAGTTTGACAGACTGATACTTTTAATGTTAGCCTCAAAATAGCAACATAAGAACGATTAACATCTGGTTGTATTCAGTGTAGTAAAGGCATCACAAATTGCATAATGGTCTGTTTTACTTTTTAAATCAGCTTCCTGGAGATCTAATTTACATAGAATAAAATGTAGCCATTTTAATTGTACAGTTTAATGAGTTTCGACAGACATATATAACCACCATCCTGGTCAAGATTTCCATCACCCCAAAATGTTCCTGTGTACTACTTGGGGTGAACAAACGTCCCAGTTTGTCCAGGACTGAGAGTTTTGCTGGGATAGTCCCAGGCAAACCAGGACAGTTGATCATCCTGTTCATGCCTGTTTGTTTTCAGTCACCCATCTTCTGTCTTAGGTGACCATTGATCTACTTTCTGTCACTACAGATTAGTTTTTCCTGTTCTAGAATTTCGTATGAGTGCAGTCAGATAGTATGTTTCTTTTTTATCTGGCTTTTTTTGCTCAACATCATGTTTTTTAGATGTATCCATGTTGTTTCTTATATCACCTGTTTATTCTGTTTTGTGCTGAGTTGTATTCTAGTCTATGAATATACTACAATTTGTCTATCCATTCACCTGTGGATGGACTTTTGACTCGTTTTTGGTTTTTGGCTATTATGGGTAAAGCTGCTATGAATGTTTGTTTACAAGTATTTTTGCAAACATTTGTTTATATTTATCTTCAATAAAAAGCTAGGGCTAAAATTGCTGGTCATGTGATAAGTGTATGTTAACTTTATAAGAAATTACCAAACTGTTTTCCGAAGCAGTTTTACTATTTTTCACTCCCACCGACAACGTATGAGAGTTCCCATGTTCTAGATTCTCATCAACACACGGTCTTAAAACTAGTCTTGAAATT